GGTTATAACAGCGAATAAGATCAAATGGGAGTAATTTGTGTTGCGCATGAATTTAATAATGATAACGCAATCCCCTTTGAAGCCAGAAATAAAAAGGCAGAAAAAACATACTAGCAACCGAATATATTCGATTTCCTCTCTTCGCAATTCACTTTGCCCTACGTCCTCGTGCAAAAAGGCTTATCAACCGCGTGCATTCCCAGCGAGGACGGTAATGAAAATGCCTTCGGAATATTTCACGTGCCCCTTTAATACATCAAGGAAGGGAAGGCGGTAGGGAAGGAAGTGAGAAAGAGATAGGAGGGAGCGAAGGAAAAGCTGCTGCTGGCACAGTCGATGCCGGAACAGACGAGGTAAAAGGGCCGTAAAAGAATCCCTTTTCCATCCTTGCGTGCTGCCCTTTATTCTCTTCGCGGTCTTCTCATTTATAGCCCTTAATTTGAGCGACACGACCAGCCCTGGAGCATCTTTCTATCTCGCTCCATCTGCATTATTGTGAAATTGCCTTATCATTGTTACGGGCACATTAAAAAAGAGTTTCGTGTCAAAATGCGACGGAGCAAGTAAACAAGATGTGACTATAAACTCAATTTATACTACTTATTACGTGCCTATCTCAATGTGCCTATCTAATAAATTTGATCTTGAACTTGGATTTCTGGTTTAATTAAAAAAGATCTTTGCGGCACAGCATGCATAGATTATCAATTACATATAAAGTGTGAAATTACAAAGACATTTATAAAAATATATGCAAAATAATAAAATAAACGTTGAAAAATGTAAAAGGAAAAAGAACCGATACTTGTATAAATGTAACATTTTGATGCCAGTTGCTGCAAATTGCACAAAAATGAAACTTCATACGCGTTTTGCTCCGTTTATTAATAAATTTTTATTTCATTTATTATAAATTTGATCTATTTGAGAAAGCAATTGTTTTTAACATGTGAATTTCATGTACAACTCACAAGACGGGTATTGCACGAACCTGACGTTTGTCTCAAGCGTTTTTCTCCGGACAATAATAAACTTCCGTCTCTCGCACATCGTATTTTAATTATCAGTGATCCAGGTCTGTTTAGCAATTCAAATTGCACACGTGACTACACCCTTGACACCGCGCGGCGGCCGACGTGAAGGACCTTGAGCTAACGAAATTGGCGTGCCAGCACGCGACAGCAACACGCGTCCGCTCCGTAATGACCCGTGCGCGCGACTTACCGTCCATTCCGGCAGTAACGTCGCTCGACGATCGACGATTATCCGCGACGTGATGCTCCCAGATCGCGACGGATCTTGCGCGCGATCGATCCATCGAGTCGCGATGACGTCGCGGGCACGCGACCTACAGACAGATCTTGCATGCGCGTTGTCGTGGTGTCGGCAGATTGTCGTAGTCTCGATCCATTGACACCTCTTGAGTGTGCGAGCAGGACACCGCCACTTTCAACGTAGTCACGAGCCGACGATGTGTCACGCACAGACGTCGACATGATGTCACGCGTACATGGCAAAGCGCTCCTCGTCGTGTCGCGCGATCGCTATAGGCAAAAAAATCGGACGGGCTTCAGTGAGGGAGAGAGAGAGAGAGAGAGAAAGAAAGGGGAGGAGAGAGAGGAAGGAAAGAGACAGAGAGAGAGAGAGAGAGAGAGAGAGAGAAAGAGAGAGACACACAGAGGAAAACGACGAGAAAAAGAGAAGATAACACCACGAGGGAGATGAAACCACGGAGGATGAAACCCTCGAACTCTTTCAGTTTACTATCGGTTCGATTATCCGCGACGCTGGATACACACGAGAAGCCGTCTTAAGCCGCACCATTCAGTATCGGCGGATCCGGCCGGGAATATTTTGCGACGGCATCAAAAACCCCCGGCGACGTCGTATCCGATCAGCGGGACGGCATTCTGCCGGCGAAAGCTTATTAAATTCTCCGCGGAGACCCGGCACTTATGCTTTCCTCTCTTGGCCACACGACTCGTTCTTTAACCTTCCTCGCGGGCTTTCTCCTACATTTATGTATGCCCGATCGCCTGCTAAAAGTCCCCTTCACTGTTCCGTCCGCGCTAGCCTGTCCCTTTCTCTCTCTCTCTCTCTTCTTTCTCTCTCTCTCTCTCTCTCTCTC